AGGCAGCTGGTGGTTTTAGCATCCTTCCTTCCTTGTCCTTTTATTTCTCCCCCCACCCACCTCCTCCCCCTGGAAAGCAGCCGCGTTCGAAAACACGTCACCTTCAAAAGGATTTGAGTGTCAGTTCAGGACACGGAGATTTGACGGAGGGGGGTTTGATTCAGAAGTCTATCTCTGGCTTGCCAAGCCTGGTGGCAGCTTTGCCCAGCCGGCCGGGGAAGGGAGGTGGGAGAGGATAGATGGCACCGTTGCTGCCCCTTTGCAATCCGTTCTGAGTAGTATTTACACCAGGAGTGCCTGAGCTCCAACCGTTGATCATACTAGCTGTCTTTTTTCGTATTCATCCTCTCGGAAGCGCACGGGCGCTGGGGAAAGGGGGCGAAATCTCCATCAAGAGAGCCCTTAATCACTTTAGAGAAGCGATTAAATGTCCTTTTCTTGATCCAGCTCCTATCTTGGCCCTCCTTTCTCTTAGCCCCAACAAGGAGGAGATTACCTGGTGTTTTTTTAAGGCGCTAATCCAGGGAAGGGTACCCTGATCAAACGCTTCATTGAGTTGCGTCTTTATAAGGGCTCCTCTGTCTGTGTCAAACCCGGCATTTACATATTAAAGACAAAATACCTTTTATGTTAATCCTCCCAGTGGAAAAACTGCCTTTGGCTGAGGGAGACCTAATTCTTACACATCCAGAATAATAGGGCTTGGTCAAAATGACGGTTGGCTTTGCAGAAAGAAATCCAAGGCTCGCTTTCACTGCCTCTTTTCAAATCGACTGAGCTTCGTAGCCATGGGATCCTTGCCAGTCCCAGAGGGGAATCCATTTTGATTCCGTTCAAATCATCAAGCAGGATTGGGTTGTTGTTGTTTTTTTTAAAGGCCCCTCCGTACTGAACTCGGTTCGATAATCTTTGAGTAAAACTGCGAATAATTTGGCACATTCCTAGCGGTATTGTTGAACCAGCATTTTTTTTAAAAAAAACCCAAACTTTCCAGCAAATACAGATTTATTTATTTTTTCCAGAGTTGGAAGGTGTGCTAAGAAAGTTCCTTTTCCACCTCTGCAAATTCCTTTTTTTTTTTTCCTGTTCTCTGTTTGGCTTTCTTGAAATTCCTCCTCAATTACCTTTTGCAGTTCCAATGCATTGTTTTCGACGATTGATCTGTTCCTTAGTAAATAAATGCCTTTGGGGAATGGGGGAAAAAAAACACGCAGAAATGCCATCCTGGGTAAGGCACTCCTAACAAGACATTTTATTCTGTGCTGCTGATACAAGAAGATCTCAGAGGATTCTAGTTTTTGCAAGCTGCAGTGTACGTACTCTTGACTTCAAATGGCTTCCTTCTTCTTCGTTGGCCTTCAGAACGTAAGAACTCGCTTTTTAGTAAAGGGATAGTAGTTTAAAGGCGGTGGGTAAATATGAAGTGTGTGTGTGGGGGTGTCATTTTGTCAATAAATATTCTGGAACCTACAGGCCCATTTTTCCAGGAGAAAAAGGATGCTAGTTACGTGATCCAATTCCCTACTCTTTGGGAGGAGGCTGTGGGAATTGGGGTCGAGGGAAACAGACTTAAATCCACAAAGCAGGCTGGAAGGAAAGCTGCAGTTCACCTTAATCCTCCCCTGAAGCCTTTGATCACAGATGTTTGCTTTTTACAATCAGTATTAATGAACCTTTGGCAATCTCTCTTAAGTTCTACCTTGGTGTGATGGGTTCTCAAGGGAGCTGATTTTTCAGCACAGCAGACAGCTCCAATGAGGCCTGGAGTTGACTCAGCGACAGTCCTGCAAATTCTTCCTGCTGGAAAAATTGCCTCGCAAGCAACCCATTCTGCCAACTCGTCCGATTTGGTGTGTGGGTCATTTTTTATTTTTATTTTTAGTGCCAAGACCTGAGACCCATCGACACACCCATCCTTCAAAAGCTAAGGGCCTTCTTGGTTCCAAAAACTACCTGTCAGGATTCCGGCGATCGCTCTAATGAAATCATGATTCTCGAGCCCAACTTCAAAACACTTCAAAGGATTCATTAGAGGCGACATACCGGCCCTGCCCTGTACGAAGCCAACTCTGGCTTATGTCATTTACTGTCAGTCTGTGCTCCATTCAAAATCCAAGAAAGAAATACTCAGACTCCATAGGTTAGGGGCAAAGTTTTTTCTTTCACCGAAAATCAAAGTGGAAGCTACAGGTTGAATTCTGAATCTAAAGAATTTGGCGCGCAGATCACATATACAAAGGGATGGAATTGTTCCCACCCCCCAAAGTCCAAAAGACTCTTCCAATTAAAAGTTCTGCATATGATCATGTGGGCATCTTCAGGTGGTGATGAGGCCTCTGTCCGTTGACCTTGACATAGTTTGATAAAACTTTGCAGCTGCACGAAGGAAAGAAAAACTAGGCAAGGAAATAGAAGCTTAAGAACAGGAATTTATACTCCCCCTCCTCCTTCCCATTTACACCAAAGGAATGTAACACCTCCAGCTTTCTTCCCCTCCAATTCCCCCCTCCCACCGTTACTAATGACAGCCGAAAGATGGAGAATAGTGAGAAAGATGCGTAGCAGTAGAAAAGGTGTAGAAAAAAAAATGTAGAAGAGATCTTGAAGGCTGACATTTACAGTCCTCTGTGACCCTGTCCCTCCCCCCCACCCCCCACCCCGGGTGTCTCATAAACCAGATTCTCCAATTGAGCACCTTCACAGGCTGGGTGTCATCAATCACGTTCTCCAATTAAAAATATTTGCAGGCAAAAGCTCCGGTAGTTTAGTTACAATCTTTTCAAGGTAAGAGTTGGAAAGTACTTTCGCTTCATAGCTGTTCCAGATTTCCTTCCTCCCTACCCCCCTTTTATGGCAACTACTAAGCAGGCATAGGAATGTTTTATGAGTTGACACTACGACTCAGGAGGTGCCAACTTCCTTCTTGATAGGTGAGCCTCTACATCGACCAGATGAAGAACTACTGTCCCCCCCAAAAGAGATGGGCTTTATTTGGACTGTTCCAATAGGGTGTGAGAACCTGTGTCTTCCTCTTCAGATCCCAAAAGGATCCAACCACTTCAGGCATGGAATTAGTAGGCTTATCATGGGCGCCTCTATGGAAGTGATCGTGACGAATCTCTGTAGCTCAGGTGTAGGATGAGAGTGAAGGTTTGTTCTCCAAGTTTGGGGTTTCTGAATGTTTCATTACCAGGCCAGGTAACATCTTACCTGGAAGAATTTAGGGGACGTCGGTGTTCTTCTGCTTATAAGGGCTTTGTGTGGTCAGTAGGTCTTTTGATGGGTTTGTCACATCTGATCAGGGTTTTGTGATGGGTCAGGTGTGAGTTGTGTCAAGTGAGGGTCTTGTGATGGTCCCTGTGATGGGGAGGCCCCATCAGATGAGGATTGACTTCTATCCAAGTCTTTGAACTTCAACCAGGAATAGCAGCCACTGGAGGTTTCATTCTCACTTGCAACCTTACATGAGATCATTGACCACTTTTGGATCAGAACGCTTTCCCATTTTTTTATCCCAGAATTCTTCTGGCTTGAAGTCCACCCATCCCCGGATCCAGAAGCAAACCAAGCCTACAATTTGGGTCATCATGTAAAGCAGACTCAATGTTACAGAATGGGATGGAGATGTCCACTCTTAAAACTTCCAAGACGTGCGACCTTGGACATCCGGACATTGCAATCTAGCCTCTCCGAAGGCAGTGAAACTTAGAGAATTCTGGTTTCTTATTTTGGCGACCGCTGCCTTTTCTCTTTTCTGAAAAAATAATAAAAAAAACAGCCTTTTTTAAAGGATGTTTTTTTTTTAATCTTGCTTCTCCATTCCATTTCTTTACACTTTGGACCCTTAGCGGTGTTCCAAGCCAAGACAGCAACACAGGGGTGGGATTTAAACATCACAGCATCTGGTTGGCTGTCCGGTTGCTGGGTGGGTGTGGCCACGGTGGGAGGGCGGGAGGACCGTGGGGTTTTTTTTGCCTTCCCCGGGGTCTGGAGGCTTCCCTCGGGCCTCTGGGAGGGCAAAACGGCCTCCCCTGGGCTCCGGAAGGCCTTCCAGAAGCCGGAAACAGGCCTGTTTCCAGCATTTACGGTTCGGCCCATCCGGTTTGCTAGAATCGGCCCAAAACTGGTAGAATCCCACCCTTGGGACAACAGCAAAGGAGAGAGATTGTCCCGTCTACTTCCAGATGGCAGGTCAATTTTTCCTAGGATCAGGAAATCGGAGAAAACCTCCCAAATCTCTCCGCAAACAATTGGAGAAAAGCGGATAGGATCCTTCCTCTTCCCCCAACCTGCATCTCCACAGAGGACTTTTTAAGGTGTCCTTTTAAATTATATTAAACATCCGTTTTTGTTTTGATATCTCTTAAGATGACTTTTATAGCTGGGTTTTTTTTGTTTGTTTGTTGTTTGGAATTTGTCTGGATTTTTTTGAAGCGGCCGGCTGGCTTTTGAGCAGAAAAGACTGTCTAAAATTGCTCTTATTACTTGAGACAAGCATTACTGAGCTCTTGAAAGTGTTGGCAGGCTGGGAACCAACTGAAGTGGCATCCTTGCTTTTCAGCCCCGAGGCTTCCTGAAAGCAACTCCATGGAGCCAAGGGCTGCGTTCGCACCACTTACCACCCAGCAGCCTTAAAAGGCTAAGATTAGACCATTTTAACCTCAGATCCAGAGGTGGCCTTCCGCCGGTTCTGACCAGTTCTGGAGAACCGGTAGCCGAAATTTTGAGTCGTTTGGAGAACCAGCCAATCCCATCTCTGACTGGCCCCCCGCCAACCCCATATCTCTTCTCTGCCTCCCATTGAGTCCCAGCTGATCGGCTGGATCTTCTTGGGTTGCCCTGCAGAGGAGAACGGAGCTGGAAAGCAGGTTAGTGGGGTGGGGAGGGAAGGGGGATTTTATAGTATCCTTCTCATGCCACGTGCCCACCAAGGCATGCCCGCAGAACTGGTAGTAAAAAAATTTAAATCCCACCACTGCTTGGTTAGATAATGATGGTCAATCCTTAATAGTTGCAGAAACTCACTCGCTTTCATTTTGTATATTTCAGTTAATCCTCAACTTACAAGTAGTCACTTAGCGACCGAAAATAAAACGTCCACCCTACCCACCCTCAGTGTCATGTGGCCACAGTTTGGCACAAACAACATTTGCAGACCCTCATGAATTTTTTTTTTTTTGTCGTAAACCAGCATTTAACGTTTCCCAGGGGGATAAAATGCCCCGTAACAAACAACTGAATGTATTGTGGTGTTTGCTTTATGACCGCCGTGTTTGTTTTAACGACTGCCGCAAAAAAAATCGGGCACAATCATGGGATAGATAACTTGCTTCACAACTGCCATGATCAAAATGTGGGTTCAATCGTAGCTAGTCCTCGACTTATAACGCTTCGCTTTAGTGACCGTGACAACGGCAGTGAAAAAAGGGACTTGGGACCATGTTTCATACTTATGACGGTCGCAGAGAGAGTGGTGCAGTGGTCAGAATGCAGTATTGCAGGCTAATTCTGCTGGCTTCTGGCTGCCAGCAAGCAATTCCTCAAGTTTCACCAGGCTCAAGGTTGACTAAGCCTTCCGTCCTTCCGAAGTTGGTAAAATGAGAATCCAGATTGTTGGGGACAAGAGGCTGACTCTGTAAACCGCTTAGAGGAGGCTGTAAGCGATGTATAAGTCTAAGAGCTATTCCTTCCTTCCTTCCTTCCTTCCTTCCTTCCTTCCTTCCTTCCTTCCTTCCTTGTGGTTAGAATGCAGTATTGCAGGCTAACTCTGCCCACTGCCAGCCGTTCGATCCTGACCAACTTGCTCAAGGTTGACTCAGCCTTCCATCCTTCCAGGGTGGGTAAAATGAATGCAGCTTTGCAGGTTAGTTCTGCCAACTTCCAGCAATTTGATCCTGACTGGCTCAAAGTTGACTCAGCCTTCCGTCCTTCCGAGGTGGGTAAAATGAGGACCCAGATTGTTGGCTGACTCTGTAAACCGCTTAGAGAGGGCTTGGAAGCACTATGAAGCGGTGTAAGGGCTATTCCTTCCTTCTTTCCTTCCTTCCCTCCCTCCCTCCTTCCTTCCTTCCTTGTGGTTAGAATGCAGTATTGTAGGCTAACTCTGCCCACTGTCAGCAGCTCGATCCTGACCAGGTTCAACACTTAATGATAGTCATAGGGTACAATATAAGCAATCAAGTCATACCAGGAAACAGTCCATATAAATAGTACGGATACAAGTGACAAAGTTACAGTCATACAGTCACAAGTGGGAGGAGATGGGCTATAAGGAGTGATGAGAAGGTTAATAGTAATAGTAGTGCAGACTTTGTAAATAGTTGGACAGTGTTGAGGGAATTATTTGTTTAGCAGAGTGATGGCTTTCTTGTTCTCGTGTGCAGTGCTCTATAGCATCGTTTTGAGGGTAGGAGTTGAAACAGTTTATGTCCAGGATGTGAGGAGTCTGTAGATATTTTCACAGGCCTCTTTTTGACTCGTGCAGGATACAGGTCCTCCATGGAAGGCAGGTTGATAGCAATGGTTTTTTTCTGCAGTCCTAATTACTCTCTGGAGTCTGTGTCTGTCCTGTTGGGTTGCAGAAGGACCTCCAAGGTTTAACCCATTTCCTTTTCCCTGCAGTGGCTCCCAAGGGACCCAAAATTATGATGACCCCAACAAGAGCCCGCGTTGGAGACACAGTCCGCATCCTGGTCCAAGGGTTTCAGGTGTGTATGACGCTCATCACACTCCCCAAAACTCAGCCCCCTGCCCCAACTCAAAGACCGCCTTGGTTTTTACGACAGTTTTTGGTATTCGTCTTCTAGGTCACTTCTGGGAATAATTTAATAGGGTTTGTTGTTGTTTTTTTAATGACAAAGACAGACAATTGTGTACCGAAGAAGACCAGCCAACTGTGAAAGGAACACCTGCATTAATTTGCTTGCTGTGACTGACTGTGGTCTTGCAAACAAAAGAGGGGTGTGTGTTTGTGTTTGTGTGTGTCGTGGCAGCTAAGAGTCAGATAAATTGATAGTGCTGGAAGTTTGCTTTTTTTTTTTTTTTTCACTCTTGCCAGGTATGTGTGAGAGACTTGAAAATTAACACACTGGGAAGCTGCTGGAAAGAGGGAGGGAAGGTGTGTACGTGTGTAGTTTTCACACGTGTTTTGCGAAAGGTGGGATGTGGCTCATCCCCTGTGGATTTGCTGTGCTACTCCCAAGCAATCTGGTGTAACGTTGGTGCGTTTTGGATGGATGGGTGCTCTTGTCGATGGTCTTCAACCAGACGTTGTAGGGACATGTTCCAAGCCAAAGGGGCCAGGTCTCCATCGGTGTAGCCCACAACTCAACGTTCAGGCAGCAAGTGTGACACCGCTGGGTCTTTCTAGTGTAGGGGAAAGTGATTTATTCTCACACCTGTCCCTGAAGCGGGACTCCAGGAGGTGAACAGAGAGGCAAAAACTCAGCAGAAGGAGAGAAGCAATCCATCTCTACCTCAAAGGCTTTAAAAAATGCGTCTCCAAACTTGGCAACGTTAAGACTCGTGGATTTCAACTCCCACAATTCCCATTTCCTGGCATGCCAGCTGAGGAATTTTGGGGAATCAAGTCCACAAGTCTTAATGTTGCAAAATTTGGAGAGCCTTGGCTTAGAAAGTGTTGCAGAAACGAGATGTGGGCAAAGACTGCCCTTGCTCTTCCAGAACTTACATCTGATTATATCAGAATATAGGGTCAGAGGACTATCTTCAATTCTGGATTTGCTAAACTACTGCTCCTAAGATGCGGGCCAGCACGTTTTGGAGAGCTTTTGAATGCCACCCACCCAAAAAGAGAATGATTTTTTTTTAGTTAATTTCAGAGGGTTCTCATCCTACAAATAATTAATCCATGGAACAACTTGGGGTGCTCCAACACTGGAGGTTTCAAAGAACAAATTGGACAAGTCATATCTCTGAAATGGCGTAGGGCAAGAGTCTTCAAGCTCGGCAACTTTAAGACTTGTGGACTTCAACTCCCAGAATTCCCCCAGCCAGCATGGCTGTTTGGCTGAGGAATTCTGGGAGTTGAAGTCCACAAGTCTTAAAGTTGTCAAGTTTGGAGATCCAGGAGGTTGGACTAGAAAACTTCCAAAGTCCCTTCCCACTCTGTTATTCCTTTGAAGTTCTCCTTGTCTCCTCCCAAGAACATTTACCTGACCAGAATCCCTGAAACAGCCATCTTGGAGAAGTATCTTCCCATCAAGGGCCCCCTTTCCTGCTGCAGGGCAATTCAATTGCTTTGCGATGAGGTTGTCCAAGAAGCTCAATGGCCTTGACTCTTGAGGTCAACCCAGTTTCCTCGTTCATTTTTGCTTCTCCCACCCGGACGACGGTCCCAGGGTTTTGAGAAGATCTCAGAAGAACCTGCAAGGTGATAACAACCATGCCACCTTTCCACCGCCCCCCACCCCGCCCTCGCCTCCAGTTACAGTTGTCGTTTCTGACTCTTTGGGGTTGGGGTGGGGGAATCCTTGGTTCCAGAACGAAGTCTTCCCCGAGCCCATGTTCACTTGGACCCGTGTCGGGAGCCGGCTCCTGGACGGCAGCGCCGAACATGATGGAAAGGAGCTGGTGTTGGAACGCGTGCCGGCTGAACTCAACGGCTCGATGTACCGCTGCACGGCCCAGAACCCTTTGGGCTCCACCGATACCCACACCAGGCTGATAGTGTTCGGTATGGGGGGAGCCTCCACGCCTCCACTCTCATCATCTCCCCACCTTCTGTCTCGTTGTTGACATCTCAACCATCCCATCCTACCTTCTTGGGGTCTCTTGATGTCTTCCCAGCTGCATGCTCCTTACAAGACAGGGGCCTCTCCTCGCCCATGGAGGGTAGGAAGACTGCAAAGTTGACTTTATGGGGAGGGGGGAGGGAACCCAACTGAGCCCTTGCTGCTCTCAGTTCCCCTCTCCTTCCCCCACCTCTCTCTCTTTCTCTCACACACACACCTGTGTGACTCCCATTCCTCATCCCGGGGCCCAGCATCCATTCTTACCCACCCTCCATCCATACCACCTCAATCCTCGCATGAGTTTGACTGTCAGTTGACTGTCTTCTTGTTTTCTCCCCCTTTCTAATTAGAAAACCCCAATATTCCACGAGGGACAGAAGACTCCAACGGTAAGCTCCCCACCCCTCATCTATCCCCCCCCAAAGCATATCCGCCTTGCGCTTCCTGAAAGATCCGTTAGCAGGATCTCCCCTCCTGTTCTGCCCCGGTTTTCTTCCCTCTAGAATACAGGGCTCTCCAACCTTAGCAACTTTGAAGGCTCGTGCATTGCAGCTCCCAGAATTCCCCAGCCAGCAAAGCTTAGCCATCCTTCCTGCTGGCTGAGGAATTCTGGGAGTTGAAGTCCACAAGCCTTCGAAGTCGCTAAGGTTGGAGAGCCCG